AATCAGTGGGAGTAACGGCCGAGCTGCGGAGGGCGCGGGCGGGGCTTTGGCGCAAGGGCGGAGCCTCAGCGCGGGGCCGGGAGGGGGCCTCGATCTGGGTCCCTACCCTGCCAGGCATCCCAGGGCAGTTTTCTCCCACCCCTCTCCTTCCACCCTGCCCCTTCGGAGCCTGCAAAACTGAGCCAAATACCCCCTTCCCACTCCGCCCCCATGCAGAGAATGTTTATGCGCTCAGCCTTGTTGGTGCGTCTAGACCAGAATCCTAAGAATGAAAAAGTCCAACCAGCCCACTGAGAGAGGCCGGAAACACATGTTTCCTTTTCTTTTTAATTGAGAAAAATCCAGGCTGTGACCATGTGACATGCCCCATTTTGTTTCCCTCCTCTCTTTACTACGGTTTACTACGACACCACGTTGTTCCTTCATCTTCCTGTCTTGAAATCAGCAAGTAGGAGGGAGCGACAGCACGTGGTTGTAGGATTGATGAGGTTGGCTCGCGATTCTTACATTTCTTACTAGTGTGAAGAGAAGGAAATACAGTGCTGTGGCTAGTACTGTTCGGGGCGCGGGTCATTTAAGGGAAAAAATCATCTGGCTCGCCTCTACCCTTTATTGAGCACCTGTAGTTTGCGAAGCACCTGAGCTTATAGATAAGATCAAGGAAAACAGATCTCCTGGGCAATGTGGGAGATCAGAGGGAAATGAAAGCGTGGGCTACAGCTTGCAAATCGTGAGAATCTGGAAATGCATGACAAGGGCTTGGATAGTGTGTTCCTTACTGAGTTTGGAGGAAATGCTCCTTATGTTCTCAAACACAGATTTGTGTTTTGACCAGTGACAGCCCATCTTGGCAGCCTGGGTAAACCAATTTTGAAAGCTTGCTAGATTTGTGTTGTATACCCTCCCATAACCAGAATTATGTGAGATGCATTACTATTTGGAATGGAAAACGTGTCTAGATTTGTTCTTTCTAAAATAAGACAAATAAGACAGAGAAATGCTATGGAAATATTTTCTCCTCCCTACTCCCTTTGAATTAGGCCCATCTTGGCAGCCTGGGTAAACCAATTTTGAAAGCTTGCTAGATTTGTGTTGTATACCCTCCCATAACCAGAATTATGTGAGATGCATTACTATTTGGAATGGAAAACGTGTCTAGATTTGTTCTTTCTAAAATAAGACAAATAAGACAGAGAAATGCTATGGAAATATTTTCTCCTCCCTACTCCCTTTCAATTACCATTCTTCCCTGACTAGTTCCCTCCTTGTCACACTTAAAGACAGTGCTATTCCCGAGGTGCCCCCTGGAAGAGTTGAAAATGAACTGAAGAAGGACTGTTCTGGCCCAAATGCTGTGCCCCAGTGCTGCTTGTAAGCAGTGGGTGAGTTTCTCTGTTGTTTAAGGAAACTGAGCATGTAACAATATTATTAACTTTCCACAATTGTATAGGGAACGTTTCATGTTAAAAAGCAAATTCATACAATTTTTATATATTGTATTCATTTATCTGAAAGCCCCTTAAACGGACACTGTCTCTTGTCTTACAGGAGGGGACTTGGGATCCAAAAGGGCAGGCTGTTTTTCTGGGGGGGGGGGAGGCTGTGTGTTGGGGGGTGGTATCAAAATTCCTGGAAAATAACTTTATGCTATCTTGAATGATGCAATGGAAAAAGCAGCTTCTGGGAGTCAGAGATCTTGGATTTGAACACAGCCTGTGTCCTTCACTAGCTGAGTGACCTTGGACAAGTCACTTAATTTCTCTGTCCCTATTTCCTCCTTGGTAACTTGAGAATTTTGTCCTAAATTATTCTAACCTCCTTTGCAGCTCTAAACATAGGAATGTTATGGAGAAAATGACTGGTGTTCTTTAGTGGGTCATTTGTAATGAGGATTCTTTCTGAAGGAGCTGTTGGCAACAGCATAATAAAGTTCATTAGAATATCCTGTCCTGTTCTGTTCTGTTCTGTTTTAGTCTGTGGATCAGACACTCCTTATAGCCAGGCTGGAGTCTGGAACAAAATCATTCTGTTTGATTCAGTACTGATTTTCACCTTGCTGGTTCTGAGGGAACATTTTCAGGTTTTAACAGACCTTAAGACAAACCCTCCTGACTATACCAGTCTAAGTTTTTGGAACCATCCTTACAGTAGATAATCAAAGTCTTGTCTCCCTTCCCCCTTTTTAAAAAGCTAAAATGTGCAGGAAGGCAAGTTATCTGTTAGTTCCTGCGTCCTGAGGTCAATTGTCAGAAGCACCTTATTCCCACCCCAAAGTATAGACCAAGCTGTAACCAGTGCATGTCTGTGACATTGTTCCATGTTATTCTGTTGGAAGTCACCGCTTCCTGTGGGTGGTCTGTTTATGGATAATGTTTCTCATTTGCACCACTGGAATTCTTCATTGAGATAACCACTTAAATGAATGGAGAGGAACTCTGAGAAGCTAATTAGGGACTAGAGGAAGCCTTCTGCAATTTTTTTATTTCCTTTTATTTCTGTCTATTAGGTGAGTGAAACAGATCAATGCTTTTCTTGCTGACAAAATTAGTGTTGTGCAGTTTTTTGTGCATTATGCTTTTTTGATTAGTTAGTTGAGCTGCACCCAGCTTTCCTGACCTGGTGTTACCTTGGCGGTTGAGCTCTGAGCCGTTTTGCTTCTCCATGTGGATTCCATAAATCATGACAATAGTGTATTGACTCTTTCATTCAGACCTGCATTGACTTTTTCTTTTCCAATCCTCCTGCTATAGTCTGATGTATTTCTTAGCTGAAGAGTATATAAATGGTTCCTTTTATTTCGGTGGGATGGTTATTTAGTATATTGGAACACTTCACAATTTTAAAGTTTTGTTTTGTTTTAAAGAAAACCATTTCCTCAATTATTTCCTCATGTTACAGAATTACTGGAAATTGTATTCAAGGAAAATAGCTTCTTGTGAATTTGTTTTGAAGTCAGTTTCACACTAAAGATTCTGCAACTTTTTTCCATTTTAATCCTTTTTTTTTAACATTACGGTAATACATACTGTCACTATCACATTTATAATTATGTCATTGATTTATTATTTCTTTATTTTACAAGTCCTAACTCTTTTAAAAGTGTTGTTGGGGACCAGCGGGTGGCATAGTGTAAACACATTGCTGACCTCCCACACAGTTGACCATGCTTCCAGTACCAGACAGGCAGACTAAAACTTGGGCTGGGCACTTGTGCATGCATGCCCAAGTTCCCAAGAGTAGAATGGAGGAAAAGGGATTGGGGCATGGCCATGCCCCATGGGAGGTGATTTCTTGCTTTTTGTCTCTGTCTCTCTCTGTCTCTCCCATGAGCAGACACACTCTATAGCAAAAATCTCTCTTAAAGAAAAAAAAGTGTTGCTGACAGGGTCTAGCAGGAGGAGAGGTGGTTAAGGCACTGAGACTCCCACACAACAGACCTGGACTCCCACATGACGGACTTAGTTCAAGCCCTAAATAGAGTGACTTGAAAATCATGCTGGCATGTGTGCATGCATGCCCAAAATTCCAAGAGAAAAATGGAGGAGAAGGGATTGTGGTGTAACCATGCCACCTGGGGAGTGATTTCTTTCTGTCTTTCTGGTGAGTGCACACACCCTATAGCAAAAACCTTTAAAAAAAAAGTCATTGATATATGTTCAGAAACTATAATCACATTGCCTTTTGACTTAACAGAATTACACTTTAATGTTAGTGTGGTAAAATAATGGTATACCAATATCAAACTAATATGCAATAGTTACTGAAAGTCGTAGTAGTTTTTGAAATGACAGACTAGTAAATATCTATTTGCTTCTAATCTTGCCTTTCATTATGGAAATGGTAGTATTTCTCCCATTCTCAATTCACAGAAAAGGGGAGAAGATGGATTAGATAAGTATAAGGTACTGTCATCTATGGTTAAAGGGACATTTTCCATTTTAATAATATTCTTGCTGCAGGCTGTGCTATAATCTGTTCAAATACATTTGGTGGAATAAATGTTATTTGTGCTTCTTCAGTGAGTCAGTGATCTTAGTGTAATAGAGCTTTTAAAAATGATATGTTGATGGTGAAAAGGCTGCTTTTCTTTTTCAACATGTTTTCTGCATCTTCCATTTAGGGTAGTAGAGTTGAATACACAGGTCATACCACAATTTTAATTGTATCTGTCTTAAGTCAGAGAGACTTTATGGTTTTATTACCTTACTGGGAATGTTTTATTGAGTAAGTTGAGTTGCATTTATTGCTTTCCTTTACTTTTCCATTCTTTCTGTTTGTTTGTTTTACTTCATATTACATACACATCCCCCTTTTTTTGTTATTGACCAAATATACTTTGATGCGAGTTCTCTGATCCTCCCTGACATATTTAGGTCATGTTGCTGAACGGTATCATTTAATCTTAGGAAGCAGATAATTGTTGTATTTGTTGAAATGATCAAAGAAACATCCCCCCCCCCAATATATGTAGTGTGACAAACAAAGGGTATTTTGCATAGAGTCATGATTCTTGCTTTTAGGAAGATATGGTCTAAATGAGACAGACAAAAATAATAATGATTAAAAGAAAGAGAAGCTAGTCGCAGGCCGCTGGGTACTCAGTATCTACTGTGCAGTCAGTTATCATTCATGTCATCTTTTCCAATGGCCACTTCCCTGTTCGTTTAAAAACCACTTGGAGGGCTCCATGGATACAAAAAGTAATCATATTTCCTCTTGAATTTGGGAGCCGAGGGAGTCATCAGAAGATCAGAAAATCTTTAGTATCCCCATGTAGTGTTACCTCCCAACCTCAACATAAAACCATCCAGCTGGGACCAGCAGATGGCATAATGATT